TTGAGAGCAGGAGCGGAGAGCGAGGCGCTGACAGCGGCCGGGCCGGGAGCGGGACCGGGAGCGGGACCGTGTCCGTCCTGCGCCCCGCGCCCTCCCTTGGCGCCGGAGGAGTTTTGGGGCGGTCGGTGCTGACGGTGCGCGCTGCCGCTCTGCTGCCGCCCGGCCCGCTGAAGGAAGAACCGATGTCCGTTTCCGTGTCTTTAGTTTGTTGAGGCGGTGCTCTCGGTAGGCAGCTCCGTTACTGTGCCCTTACAGTCGTAACTGTGTTACAGGAAATAAAACAAAAATGAAACCTCAAAGACTGTCAATGGCAGTCATCAAAATCGATTACCAAAGCTTGTCTTGGTGTAAATTCTGTTTATAAGCCTGGATTTATTGATAAGATGCTCCTTCTTAAGCTTGAAATTTGTATCTGTTCTTTAGTAAAATGGCTCAGGGAACCATAAACCAAAGTCTTACAGCTCCACTCCTTAATTTCCTAGGGAAATGAAGTGAATTTACGAAGTGTCCTTGTTCTTTCCTATTTTTTTCATGGATTAAAAAAAAATAAACCAGGAAAGCTATGAAAATAGAAAACAAACCTTGAACAGTATCTTAATTTTTGGGGGTAGGGAACAAGTGGGAGATGGTGCGACTAAGTACTAAAGGTAAATAGTGTGGATTAAGTAGATGTTAAAGTGTTGCTGTGTGTCCTGCTTCATTTTTTTTATTTAGATATTTCATTTTGACAACAGTTAAGTTTGTTTCTCTTTACAGAAATAAAAACTGAAACTGAGTTATGTCTGTGTTATTAAGTGGCTTTTTTAAGTGACATAACAAAATTGTGTGATTGTGATCGGAGGTGTTAGATTAAGCAGAGGAATTAACGCAAAATTGGTGAAATGTGTTGTGTACTGTTTTCCCTGTTTCCCCCCCAGCATGTTACATGTTTGAAATGTCTTATGTAATGGCCCAGTCATGCATGAGCAGGAGTATTAAACCTTTTGTGCCTTTGCTGTCTGAGGAAGGTATTTCTAAAAAGGTTTCGTATTAAGATTTCTATTTTTCTTTCCTCATCTTGATGCCAGTCCAAGTTTGTTGAGCAGTTTACAATCTCTGTAAGGCATACTTTAATTTGCACGGTAGTTTATTATCTGTAATTATTTATTTAAACTGTCAGATGGTTAGGATGAGCAATAAAATTGCTTTTAGGAGTCTGCTTTGGGTCAGGCTTATTCTGTGTTGGGCAGGTGCTTGCTGTCTGGTTTGATTCTTGAATGGGTTGGAGTGGGGGTGATGGAGATGTTTTTGTCGGTGACATCTCTCTAGGAAGCAGTTAGGGTAGAACGTGTGCCACTTCCCTTTCTCAGCTGTCTCTGAGGTTCAGGTCTGCTTTCTTGTGCCCCTGGGGTGGGAATTATGAGTATATAGCTTTTTGGATCCAGATGCCTGAACACACTGTGCTTGCTGCTGCTGTTAGTGGTGCAGAAGGCAGCAGCAGAGATGGGCTCTTGCCTCTAACAGGAGAAAAGGGCTTAATGCTGCCCTTTGGTAGTCTAGCAATTGTTGTGTTCAAAGCCCTTGTGCTTGAAGAATTATCCCAGGCATATACTAAATACTGGGAACGCCCTTTAAGACTTACCTTGAATGCCTCAGAAGTGCCAAAATGTAGAGAACAAGAAAATTGTCTTGCCCCGTGCTGGAAGGAAAGGAAATAACCAGTAAGAAGCACAAGTGGTTTTGTATAAGAGGAAAGTGTAGATATTCCTGTCTGCCAGAGCTGGCACAAACTTGTTTTCCTCCATATCTCCTGTTTGTGTAACTGGACCGGCATCTGTCAGAAAAGGTGACATTGGCTGCTGGCAGTGTACTTTCTGTCACTTGGCTTCTGCTTTTGTGGAACACGATGAGTTGAAGCCTGTGATAAAGATAAAACAGTGTAGATTGTTCTTTAACTTGTTTGGGTTTAGGTAGCTTTTTTTTTCTTTACTGAATTTAGTAAATTGAGCTTGTATTGGTCGAGTAGCAGCGGTTGTAGAAATACAACATCTAATGCAACAATCAGTTCTGCCTGTCACCTTAATTACTGATGTTAGTTTGCTGCTTTTTTTTTTCCACATCCCATACTATTTTTTTTCAGATCCCATACTATTTTTTTTCTGTTTTCTTTAGCTTGTCTCTTTCAGTGAATTGTACAAAGAGTAAAGCAATGATACAGGCTTTGCTTTTCTAGTAATAGTTACAAGCAGCAGAGCATCATCTTAACTTACAAAATGTATGTACATATGTATATTTGTTTTAAATTCTGTCCCTGCAGATGGAGGAGAAAAGCTGTTGCTAAATAGGTGGGATTTTTTAAACTTTGAAAGTGGATGGATGACATTAAAAGTCGAGACATGTTTGTTATTTGCCTTGTATATAACCAAGTCTAACATGTTTCTGGTTGCTCAAGAGGATCTAAGAATAGTTTGGATGGGAGAGATGCTGTTAGAGGTGCTATCTGAAAAAAAATTAAACCCTCTGCAAAATTGTCAAACATTGGGACAATGTGACTGTCAGAGTATGTTAAGGAAAGATAATTTTTGCCTGAATATCTTATGGATGCAGATGAGTAAGTAGGGAAAAATAGAAAACTGCTTAGAATAATAAATTACACCAGTCACATATGTTCATTGCTTGCTAGCTTTTCTGTTCTCTGTGGTGCCAGTTTGTAACATTTCCATTAACTTTATTGTTATGGAAAAATTGCTTCTACACATCTTCAAGTTTCAATATATAATTTATTCTTTAATATTTATGCTAGAAATGGTAAATTAATGCAACTGTTACTATGTTGGACTTGTTTGATCTCTTTGCAAGTTATTAGTGTGGAGTACTGGGATTGCTTAAAATTAGCCAAGCAAAGCTGATCTTAATACTTGCATAGATCTTGACATATGCAAGACTTGTGTTGGCAAGGTATTACCTTGTCAGTTGTTAATTTAGGGGACTAAAATATGTTTTACAGAGCTTACTTATTCTTGTGGGAAAGCATATGCTGATATTGCTGCTGTCTTTGGTTAGTGTGATCATTTCTTATTCTTACTAACCCTCATTTGAATTCTAAAACCTAAACCAGATACCAAATAAATTTCCTTTCAGCATTATATTTGGATTTCTTCATAGATATGCTGTTGTTATTCATTAAAACATTTATCTTATAGTAAAAGCATTTAATGTGTGCACCAAAAGTACAGTATGTATTGTGGAGGAAAAGATGACACATAAAATAACATGAAAAACAGTTTTAAAAAGTGTTCATGGGTTATTTCCTCTCTGGAGAGTAGATTACTGAGTGCTATTTATATATCTAAACAAGCAATGTCTGAACAATTAATGTCAGTGAACTGTTGTAGCTGTCCATTATATTTATCTACAGACTGGTTTTTATTATTATTTTTATTTTTTTTTAAAGCTTGCTGATATTAGAGGTCACAGTGGGAAGTGAGGTGAAATGGAGACCTAGGAGTGACCTTCCATTCACTTTTTTAGCGACCTTAAGAAAATCACTTAGTTTCTTATGCTGGTTTTAGGGATATGTTACAATAGGACTAACTCTTAATGACTTGAGATGGTGTAGACTTCATGTATTTGTTTAAGATGCTTTGGAAAAGTTTGTAAATATTATTAGAGCAGCAAGCTCTTCAGAGCAAGCTCTTCATTATGCCAAATCATTCAGAGAAAGGAGGGTATCTTCTCCAGCTGGTTTGTATTATCAGTTGGGATTTTGTTGAGTTTGCTGGGGGTTAGGTTTTTAAAAATTTTATTTTACTTTGTTTTCATTCTTCTGTCACTGATGTGAAATAGTAACTGGGCACAAAATACTGTCTCTTTCTAGCTTAGTTTCAGGACTATCAGAAATGTACTGCATGCAGTTCAAAATTTTTTTTAACTATAAATTCAAACAAAAATAAATTTTCTTCACAAAAAATACATATTTCCCCTAACTTTTTCTGAATTTCATTATTTTCAGATTAAAACTTTGTCCTACTGATCTTTTTTGTAAAAATAAGTCATGTTCTTATATTGCAGTTTGTTACAACTGTATGCAGCTGTGAAACTGTACTTCAGACAGCCTTATCTTGAAGGTTATACAGATTGTTTTAGCCTGTTTAACTTGACTATATTAAAGTAAATCCAGTAAATGAAAGACATGAAGAAAAACAAAATCAGTGATTCAGCCTACTTAAATTGGATTTAAATGTTAAGTCAGTGATGTGGAGTTACATTAAAGTAATCCAAATACAGTTTTTCAAATGAAGTAGGTAGTCTGCTAGTGGTAAAATTTCCGAGATTTTCACCTTGGTCAGCTGGTAGGTAAGATTAAAGCAGTGGCATTTTGCTTCTAATAACATCTTAGCAGTGGAGTGATGATGAGACTCTAGAATTAGACTTCATGGTAGTTTTCAAATCAGTTTGGGTTTTATTAATAAATATAGAAAGGTCTTGAGTTTACTTCTACTTCAACAAACAAATAAAAGGAGTATAAAGCTACTAAAGGGGAAGCTACATTGTTATGTGGAACCTTAGCTTGGTTTAGCAGTAATGCATGCAAGCTGTGTTTGTAGTTTGGTTTAGTTTCACTAACATGACTGTGCATGATCTAGAGTAAATAAGTGGGAAACTAAAGATAAAGTAGAAACTGGAAGAAAGGTTTTCTGCAGAAGCGTTGTGTAACTGAACATGGACAGAGGGGGTGTTGGTTCTGACCTGGGGCTTCTACCTGTGTTGCTGTGGGCACTTCAGAGTTTGTCTGGAGTTTTTTCAGTGTGTTCTCTGAAGACGTGGTGCAGTATCATTTTTTTATGCTGGAATCGGTGTTGGTGAGAGGTTGGACCCTTCTGGTCCAAATGCAAACTGCTTTCTATTAACAGCCTTTTATCTTTCTTCCTTTTTGAGGAGTGGCATATCCGAAAAGTGGATGTTCAGGATAACATGTCCAATGTGTCAGAAGAGAGAAGCACTAGACAACAGGACATTAAGAAAGGACTCCAGTTTATAGAGTATGATTTTGTGGTTTTATTCTTGTATGCTTACACGTGTATATATATATGAGATGGATAGCTCTGGGAAAGCCCGTTTAGTATAGCACCAGCAGAGGAAGGAAGAGGACCTGTATTTCTCCTCAGGATATTTGATAACACTAACATGGAAATGGGGAGCAGTCTTAAAAAAAGATAGAACCCTTCTTTGTTCCCAAACATCAGATTAAAGGTTGGAGGGTATTCCTTCTCTGCCTTTGAGAAAAAATGAGCACTGAATTTTTTTCGTGAGTAATAAATGTTGATAGCCTGAAAATCTACCTTACAGTTGTGGACAGCTGCACCTAAGAGTAGGTTGCTACTGAAAGGGATGGGTTTGCTCATCACTACCTAATTTTATCAACTCACTGGAGCTAAAATTTAACCAAATTAAAAATCATGTTAGTAATTTTCATTTAGATCAATGCCAAATTCTTCTCTAGAAGATCCTGGCCAGCTTAAATAATTGTGAAATTTCACACTAGCTCACTGTTTGCATAAGGCATTCTTTAAAAAGAAACAACCAACAAGAAGCCAAAACTAACCCCCCCCAATTTTAAAAATTGTTTAGAAACAGATTCTCAGATGACCTAGATGGGAGGGGAAAGGGTTCCTATTTTTCTTCCTGAAAAGTTAGAAGTAAATACCTTTGTTCTGTGCTAGAAAAATATCTGCAGTTTGTCATACAAAAGAACTCTTAAAATTCCTGTAGTGTCATTGGTATGGTTTAATTAAAGTTGATATGTTCTTTTGACAGATAATTTGTTATTTTATAATACTTACCAGAAGATTGCAGTCTCCTCACATATAATCTGTTTCTACACACAGGAGGAAAGGAAGGACATTGTTTTTAAACAAACAACATTGAGGTTTTATACTCAAAGCATTCAAAACCTTAATACATTTTGAACAGCAGGTTAAGACCAGCTTAAAATGAGTAATTAATAATAAGAAAACACAGGTGTTTAATCAAAACTAAAGTACAGCACTCCTGTCATTCATTGCAGGCAATAGACAATATTTAGAGACTTGCCTGTTGCAGCAAGTGAGGCTGCTTTTAGTAAGAGCCAGTGTTCTTCCAGTGTGATCATCTTGTAAGCAGTATGTATAATAATAAATTCTGTGATTTCTTTTTCTAGATCTACTTTGCCCTATCCAGGGACGCAAGAACAATATGAGGTAATGAAATTACCTTTGTATTTCCAGAAGGGTTTTAACATGGAACTAACTTACCATATTTGTTCTTCTTTTTTAATCATCATTTAAGTAATGATGTAGTACGAATGGTAGTGTCTCAACTAGAGGACTACTTACATTGTGATACAGGTACTCAGATATTTGGATGCCCAGAATTCACTCATATAGCAATTTAGATTAACTCCATCTCTACTGGTGTTAGGGATAAAGATGGGGCATTTATTGGATAAAACAATGTGCTATTCTGAGTAAAGTTTAGAGTAGCACAGCAAAAGTGAGGTAAAAGGACCTCAGTCACATAAATCTTCATAACGTATTTCGTTTCTCTACATTTTATTATTTTGCATAATTTTATCTTGTATTTTCAGACTCATCTTTTTAGTATTTTTATTAGTGGTAGTGGGTTTCATTGGATTTGAGAACATATTGGATAAAAAATTAAATAAAAATAGTAGTTTAGCCTCTCTTTTATTTGCATGTATTGTGGTGTTGAATATTAGTCTTGGAAAAATGTCAGAAGAAAAATACCGATACAAACAAAAGTTTTGCATGGCAGGGGGGTTGGAACTGGATGATCTTTAATGTCCCTTCCAACCCAAACCATTCTATGATTCTGTGATTTTGTTTTGTTTCCATGAAATGACAAGTATAAATTTTCTATTTAAAAAATTATTTAGAAACATGGAAGGTAAACAACAAACTTGCTGTTGATGAGTGTTTCTTTTCTTTGTTCCAGTTATTTATACGAGAGCTTGTTAGAAATCTTTTTAATGAAGGGAATGATGTATATCGAGAAGGTGATTGGAGAAGATCACTGAGTCACTATACAGAAGCTATAAACATAGCTGATTATGCTAATTCTGAAGAAATCCATGTTTCTGATGATATTTTAGAGAAGCTGCATGTGAACAGGATAGCATGTTTTTCAAATATGGTAAGCTTCTGTTTAAACTGTATGATTTCTCAAGAACAATGTGCTAACAGAGCATGAAGACATGGAAGACTTCCCAGTGACTGAAAAGCTCTTGGTTTGAGAACTGGTGTGTTTCAGATCATCATTTTGTCATATTCTTTAATACTTTCTTTTTACGACTATAATCATTGACATATTTTTAGTTACTAATACTAGAATATTAACATAAGAGTCATAGTAGGCTTGGAAATTGATGGAACAGTATTTTTATGCATTTATACTGATGATTGCAACTGGGTGTGCTGCTTTCTCTGTGGAATAAGATGGCTCTTGTGAAAGAGCTAAATTGTCTTCATAACTATTATTGGATTTTACATGAATGATGGCCCTGCTTCTTTTTAGTTGCATAAGTTGGTGACTTAGCAAAACTCATACATGCAGTGTGCGGTGGCTTTGGTGAGTGTTTTATGGTGTTTCAGTACTTTAATACAGTTTAAATTTGCTGTTTCGATAATAGTTCTGATTAGTGCCTTTTTCTCTTTTCTCCTTGTAGGGATTGCATGAAAAAGTTCTAGAAGACTGTGAGGTAGCATTAAGATTGAATGAAAACAATTTCAGAGCTCTCTATCGGAAAGCAAAAGCTTTGAATGAACTGGGAAGGTATAAAAACGCTTATGATGCTGTAGCAAAATGTTCTCTTGCTGTACCACAGGTATGTAAATTATATATTGATGACTATTTTTAAAGATTGATACAGAAAACATATACTTACATCAAGACCATTGAAGGTTTTGTTTTGGTTTTTTTTTTTTAATGCAGTAAAATTTTTTATTCCTCTAAGAATTATTTTTTGTTGTGGAAGTGAAGACTGATAGCAGAGATTACAGTCCCCAAGTTTGGTTTGTTGTGTTAATTTTCAGCAAAAGAATAGTCACTTGGTAGTGGAGTTCAAGTGCCATAAACATTTGCTAGAACCACTGAATTAATTGTTTGTAATTCTCTACAGTAACAAGTATAACCACACATAATTACAATGTACAATATTGATTTATTTTTATAACCATGTTTTAGCTTTCCAAGCATTTAGTAACATTATCTGCGCATTGTCCTCCATCTGCCTCACTTACTCTGCACCTCTAATCTCAGGCTGTATCTGTATTAGCCAGCAGTGTGTGGTGTAATAGGAGAGGATCTGTACACTGAAATGCTGGTCCTGAGAATCTGATTGCCATGGTTGGTTGTGTTTTGTGGGTTTTTTTGGTTGGGTTTTTTTGTTTGTTTTTTTTAAAGAGGGTGCATCAGTTGCACTCCTGCAGCACTTCCCATTTAGTTTAATCCAAAAATAATCTAATTTGGCTCCCTGAGACCCTTCATTTGAACTAAAATGCTGATGGAAACTTTACCTGTTTTGCTCAAATAGACTGGTACAGGACAGAATAATGAGTTGCGGTTTTTTTCGCCTTTCTACCTCAAAATTACAGTGAAACAGACAGATAAACTGGTTTGAGTATAGGTTTACCCTTTGATATAGAGAAGGTCTCAGCTTTGTTTGTGAAGACACAAGCAGTTTATCTGAGCGTGTAACTTTGGACTTCGGATCCTCGCTTTGCATCTCCAGATTTGCATGTTTTCACTTAAGGTTAATATGCCTTTCTATAAGTTTTGTAAATAGCTTTTTCTAGCTCTAGGGCACATTCTGAAAGCTAAATCTTAAAATAATTTAAATGGATAGTTATTATAACTATAGGACAGAATGAAATACGACCAGGTTTTTAACTCAGCTTTTCTAGTTGTATGATGCCATTACCGCCAAAATACAGAGCTCTCAATAAATACTCATCAGTGTTATGCAGTAGCTGACATTATGGTGATCAGAAATGTGGCCCTCAATTGTGTAAAAACAAAATGACAAAAACCCCATCCTCCCCAATTAGACAAAAAGTACTAACCCACAAAAAAACCCCACTTCTCTGAACTTCTCTGGTTTTGGAAAAATCTTTACATTATTTTAAATTCAAATAAGTGGAAGAGAAGAATACTATCTATTTTCAGGCTTTTTGAAAAATTCTAAATATTTGGAGTAATTTTGCTTGAGGGTAGCTGTATTTTTCAGTGTTAGCTTGCAGTCTTATTTGTTTGTTAAAGAGTAAAGATGCATTATGAGACATCCTGCATGTAAGGATCTTGTAAAATATAGACTGAGATGTAGACAGAAGTCTACATGAAAGATGAAAACACATGTAAACTACGAAATTTTATTTATATCTTTTAGGATGAAAGTGTGATTAAGCTTACCCAAGAACTAGCTCAAAAACTAGGGCTAAAAATAAGGAAAGCGTATGTAAGAGCAAAGGTAAGATTTTATTTTAACATTTTACATTGAGGTTTCCCTCCTTGATATCAATTTTGTATTTAACAAAAGTATCTTTTCATTGCAGCCACCCTCTTCAAATTCAGTTTCTAGCGATGTGTCAACTCAGGTAAGGTTTTACATGTTCCAGGTGCAAGCTGCCTTTAAACTAGGGGGTGATTGTTTCATAATTTCATGATGATGAAGTGAAAATGGTGCAAATAAAATTTTATGTAAGGTGCTGATATTTTGGACTTTAATATTTGGACTCTGTTAATCTTTATGTTCAGTTTTGCTATATATTTATGTCAGACTAGGACGTAAGGTTATCCTTCAAGTTATCTTTGTAGAATAAATGTTAGCTATAACATTAAATCCAGTGCAATGAATATATTTACTTTTAATGTCTTGAGGCAAGCGCATAGTTAATGTGTTCATTTATTTATTTAATTTTGTTAACGATTATTGAAGTAAAGGGTGCTGGGATAAAACCCCTTTTAATTTATGCATTTGTCCAAATTTGACCTTCGCTAGCAGCTGAACTTGCTATTTCTGGTGTATTTGTAATGTATCTGAATAGCAGTAATGAAGAGGAGTTCATCTTTATCTTATGGACTTTTTTCACAAGAATAGAGATAATTTAGCTGTAAATGAATGAGGAGATGTAGGAACAACTCATTTAAGATACTATTTGGACTCTTTCATTCCCTGGAGTAGCACTCTCACTTATGTTGGTTGGTTGCAGATCTTTAGTGATACCATAAGTGGATTTCAGTCTGCAAATGGATGCTTTATCTAAAAAAATTACTTGACCTTTAAATTCCATTAGACTTTGTAAATTTAAAAATCTATAAAACCTAAATTTGAGGACTTACATTCTTAGTCTAAATATGTACTTGAAAATTTTTAATGGCTCTTCTGCAAAGTGCTGAGAGGTATTTTTTTCTCACTTACAGAATTCTTCTTCTGTAGAAGATATTGAGTTAGGTGAGTCTTGTTGTGTTACAATATTAACGCTAGGTAGCTAGGCATGCTGTGCATATCTCGTCATATTTGTTATGAAATTTCTTAAGAAAATTAATCTTGTCATTTGAAAGATCTGTGGTAAAAAGTCTGATCTGTTTATCTCTAAAACTATGTATTTAAGTGGCTGAGCAAGTTTCCTTTTGGTCTCCTCAACTTGATATGATTGTTAAGTGCTTCTGTCATGATTGTCTCATACTGTTCTCTTTAACTTGGAAAACAGAGAGGGGAAAATATGCCAAAGATTAATAAAGTGTCAGGTCTGTAACTTTTCCTGTCTTTTTCAGTTTGAGTAATATATAAGCACTGAGATACAGGTACCCATGAGTTGGAAGTTAGTGGAAGATAAAAACATTTAATGTGGTTTTGCTTAAACATTCTTCATGTTTCTCCACCCCCTCACCCCCCACATTGTTAGGGTAAAAGTTATGCAACGTATTTTTACATCTTTGAACAAAAGTTCCAGTCATTCCCCTCTTATCTGTTTCAGATTTATCTGACCAGAAGCAAGAGATGGTTTCTGCTGCTTCTTCATCAAACTTTGTTTCTGAAGTGTCTCTAGTGTCATCAGTACCTGTACCATCTTTATCTTCTGTTTTGCCTCTTCAAGTGGAAAAGGTTTCTTTGCCTTCTGCCGTGTTGGCAAATGGAGGGAATGTTTCTTTCGCTATGCCAGAAGCATGTTTAGATTGTGGGGATGGAGATATAATTATTGGGGAAGAACTTGATGAATTACTTGATTCTGTGCCTGATCCAGATGAAAGTGTGATGGTAAGACTTTTTTGTTTGTTTTCTTTCTCAAAAACTGTCCTTATGAGTGGGATCTTTTATTTTTATCAAGTGGGCTAGTAGCAAAATGTGAGTTACCTTTCCTGAGCTGTATTAGTGCATAGTCGGGTTGATTTTCTCAGGAGCAGAATCTTGCAAATGTGGCTGTAAAGATACCGACACCCAGCAGAGCTCCAAGGACAATTACATTGGTTATGTGTGTTGGAAAACCTGAACGAAGTTGCTGGGAGAGGGATACTACTTCAGAAATACAGCTATATTACTGTTGTCTTATGTTTTTAACATAATTTGGAAATTTAGCATTGATCTGGTTAATAAAAAAAAATCTAAATCTATTAATAAACTTCAGTTAACTGAACCTTTGAAGTGGTTGATTCATGGATAATTCCTTGCATTAGGGCATTGTTTAGGGTTTGATTGCTGTAGTTCTCTAAGTGTACTGTAGCTCTGTACTGTACTGTAGTAATAGATTTATAAATAAATTGATTTATAAAAATTTTGCAAAAAGAAATACTATTGCAGATTGTGTTCTTGAGTGTTGGTGGGTTTTTTTGCTATGTGAACAGACAATTTTTTAAAATTTCCTTTTTTTTCCAGCAAACTACAGGAGCCAGAGGACCTATTCCAGCAGGAAGTGTAGCTCCTAGTGTAACTTTCTCTGCCTCTTTGTTGGGGACACTGCCAGTTAGTGCAGGATTTATTCCATCACCTTCTCTTTCAGAAATCTATTCACAGCCTCTGACTTCTTCACTGGAAAATTTTTGTTCGCCACTAAGCACCTTTTCAATCAGTGACCCAAAAAGAGGTAAGAAATTAGTATTAATACTTTAACCTTTTATGATGACAGAGAGTTGTGCATGAGCCAACCGGCTTATCTTTTTGACAAATGAGTTTTCACAACTCTTCAGTATTATTTAACACTTATGTAACATTTGATCTGTGCTCAAAATTTTGGAGAGTATTGATGATCGGTGTTGGTTAAATAAAGGTTTTGTTTACCTGGGGCCTGCATAAGCATGCTCCAGGCTCCATCCGTTCAGTTTTTCTGCATTTATTGTGCAAGTTATTTGTTTCAGGTAAGTCTAAAGAAGGAGCCATGTTCCTTTAAACTTTGTTTTTTTGAAAACAAAGGTGTTCTTACAGCTTAAACCATTTCTGATGATTTGGCAATAAACAAGAACTCTAAAAGGCTGCTGTAACTTTGTACTCAGAAAAGATACCAGTATTACTTGTTTGGATTCAGACTCGAAGGACTATAATTATGTAAAGAAATCAAGTACGTGAAATAAAATACAAATAGCCAGTGAACTAGAAAAGATAAAGTTTTGTTTCTAATTACCAGCACTATAGGAGCATGCTCTCTTTGGAACAAAGCCAGATTTACAAAATAAATTTAAAAATAGAAGAATCCTCTCAATCCTCTTTCATCTCCTCATTTTTGATAGACAGGTATTGCTTATCTAGCTACCCTTTTTGTACTGCACAAGTACCTCATGTTGCTTCAGTGTATGCCTGTGAAGCTACTGCTAATGTTAATCAGATGGTTATATTGAAGATTATTACCTAATAAATTTTCAGCCCAGATGTTTACAAAGAGCTTTTACATAATTAAAAAAAATAATCACAGCAAACAAAAAACCCTTTGGTGTTTGTCAAAAAACCAAACCTTTGATACTGCAGCTTCTCAGGAATTGATAAATAAGTTTTTGCATAGGATGGTTTGGGGAACTGAAATAATTGAATCTTTTTATTCCTTTAGACCTCTCAAGTTCAGCTTCTAGGGATGGAACACCAACACTTAGCAGCAGTAATTCCCCATTGTTTGTAAGTATTTTTCATGTTTTGTTTCACAGAAGTTCAAATGGTAATGCCTTGAAGGCTTAACATAGATTTATTTTTTACAGTAGAAGTTTCTATTTTTAAAAAATGGCACTTTTACAATGAAAATATGATTCTGGCTTGGAAAGCAGTTGTACAGTAGCTTACAGCAACAGTAATTGAACACAAGAAAAAATTTACAAAGGTGGTTTTATATATGCAGACTTTGACTGCTGTCATAGCCACTTTTCCATTCTGAGGAACTTGCTGTAAAATACTGTGGAAGTGTAAAATAGCCAACCTAAAAGAGAGAAAATCTCTCATGATCCGAGTGCCAAAAATTAGGAATCCTGGAGAACTGTCCTAGTACAGGAAGAGAGCACAGATCGCCTTGTGTCTTAGAATCCATTTAGTGTCTGTATTCTAGTCATGCTGTATATTTTTAGCCATGCTGCTGGCCATGGATTATGTGGGGAAGGGTGGCATGAAGGATTGCATCCTCATGAGCCAGGGTGGAGTAATAATTAGGCTGGCAAGTGCTGTTCTCCCTGTACATGGTTGGGTCTTGTGTGCTTAGTCTGTGCTGGGTATATGGCTTTTGTCAAATCTGCATGACCCCTTCTTAGACGTGTGGTTAAGTTTGTGTTATGAATTTTTTGTGCGTAGTCTGTCTTATGCTTTGAAGAATAATTTCAGTAGGTTAAATTTTAATTCTAGATAAATGAAGTAATATGAATAGAGTAAAATATGCTTTCTTCCAACAGGTAAATGGCCCGAGTAGTTTGTTTGGGTCAGAAAATTACATGGGAATTGCAGGCCAAACTAGAAATGACTTTTCAAATGTTTTTAGCAGTGCAACTGCTAGCATACCTGTATCTTCAGCACTTGTGGGAAGAAACCCATTAGAAGGCACACATGAGCTAAGACAGGCCTGCCAGTTATGTTTTGTCAAAAAAGGTAAGGGGTTTTTGGACTCAATTGGGTTGATTTTTTTTTTTTTTTTTTTTTTAATTAAAAAGCATACATTTGAAATTTTAGTGTTCATAAGTGACAGTACTGTTGGCTTCTAAACAGTGTTAATCTTGACTTATTCTTTGCAGATGTAGTACAGTCTTACTATTAAGGAACTGGTAAAATTCAGCAACTATTTTACCTTCTTTCTTCTTGTCTATATTTCTTGTCCTAATAGATTCTTGATTCCTAAAACCACCACGAATCACCGCACGCTTTCCCCAACCTGTAGGTTTACTGTGTAAGGTCGTTCACATTCTGTATTCCCTTTCCTCCCAACCCCCAGGGTACTGTGAAGAATGACACCTTTGCTCAAGACTAAAAAAAACTTGCAATACTCTCTCTGATTGGCCATGGGGAATTGAACTGCAGTTCAAAGTACCTGGTAACCTTCACATCCCATCTATTTTATTGTTCTTTCAAACTAATTCTAAATCATAATCCTGAGGCTTCCAAACCTTAGTAATAATTAACTCCACTGTATTGACTCAGAAGGATCTTAACCTCTTTTGGGCTTTAATATAACTAATCTTTTAGGCCTGAGCTGTTGCTGTTTAAACAGAGCCGTATTCTTGAGGCAATAGGTTTTATTAAGACTAATCTTAAAAATAAGCATTGTGTTTCAAGTTATAGGTGCCAATGATATTGATATACTAAAGTGCAATGTAGTAATGGATCTTTTAAAGAATTGTATCAAGACATTTAGGGGATGACTAGTTTTAAGAACTTTTATATTAGTTTAAAATTATTTTTACAAGGAAAATCCATGAAGTGATGTTTGAAAAACCACAGATCACATTATGTTAAAAGCAGGAGCTATAAAATATTGGTGGAAGTACTTAGTATGTTCCTATCTTGACTTTTTTATCAAAACATCTGTTTCTTCTCTTTCTTTGCATATCTATCAAAAACTTTAAGTGTCTCCTGCTTTTACTACCTACTTTTGAAATTGTACTGTTCCATCAGCTTCTTGTCCAGGGAAACTGGGTCACACCCTTGTTTTTGTAGTCACTTAAATGGCAGAATTCAGTAAGCGTTGATTGCCTTCAGACTCCCTTCCTGATTTCTTAATTTTAATGGTAAAGTAATCTTCACTTTAGTATCATCCTGAAGACAGAGTTTAAACCTAGGCATATTTTTGTTTCCAAAATTATGAAGTTCTGGGATTGGCATTTACACTTTTGGTATGTGTGTACTTCTTACCTGATGTCTTTTGTCTCTGAACATAGCAACTGATCTAATATAATAAAAGTTGAAGGTTAAGAGAACCATTTACTGATCTTAGAATTCATCTGCATTGTTGTATTATAAATAAGCACTTTAATTTTTAAATTAGTGTTATGAAAACATACACTTTGGAATTTGAAAAAAGCAGCAATTTGTTGCTTTCCCAAAGTAATCATAAGGTTATAACACAGCATCCCTCCCCAGATAACTTGTGGGGTTTTTTCTTGCCAAGACTGGTCCTTTTGTAAGTATTCAGGTTTTTTTGTTCTTATTCTGCTCAACATGGCTGGTAATGACTTTTGGTTCTTCAGAGTTGCTGGTGCAAGTAGGAATTCTATACGGTGTGTTCATGTACTTTGCTTTTGGGCTTATGTGCCAATCCATGTATGGAAATGTTATAAGTATGCTGCAGTTTATGCAAATATAAGCAATGTTTTGCGATTGTTTCAGGTCCTAAACTATTGGATTATGCTTACCATCCCGGTTTAGAACATAAATGTAAGAAGGATATTCTAATTGGCAGAATAAAAAACTCTGAAGATAAATCATGGAAAAAAATACGTCCAAGACCAACAAAGACACAGTATGTGGGACCATATTATATATGTAAAGGTATGTGTTATAGATAGTAAAATGTTAATGCCTACACTCAAAGTAATATAGTTTAGCTTTTCCACAGTGAAGTAAAGAATTTAGTTTTTATTCTTGCTCATGGACGGTGGAGAAGGAAGTTCACTAGGTTGTTTGTATTTTCAGAGGCTATAAGGAGAGCCATATTTTGGCCATTAGTGTGATTATTTAGAGAGCATGCACTGTACTTCTCTACTGTTCTTCGTCATGAGTAACTTTGCTTCCAAGTGCAATATTTTTATATTCCTACTTTTGTATCATTTTACTGTACTGCTCTATGCCATCCCCATTTCCCTTCTTTTCCTATGAACTATGCATACAGTATTGATGACTAGGGAAGACATGGGAGTACTTTCCTTACTACTTCTGATACTCCCCCAAACGTTTTGGTGTGCATTTGTGTCACAGTTTGGCCTGCTGGTAGGGGAAATAAGAGTACAGTCCTGAGAAGTGGAGCCTGCTCTCTAACTACAGCAGGTCTGTCAGCATGCACCCACCTTCTCATCATAAATTAGCGTGTTCTGGCAAGGAGATAGTCTGGGCCGGGAGGGACATGAAACACAGCTTTTTCAGCTGCTTATAAGTTAGTTAAAGAACATGCAGGCTTCCAGTGTACTGTTGCCCTGAAAACAGTATGTTTCTGGGCTATTTACTATTCAAAACAACAACAGAAAAGCATTCTTGTTAGTCTTTTGCAGTATGAACTTCTACTTATGTAAGCAAGATGACTTGTGGATTAATTACCAGCTATATCGGACTGTATTGAAGCAACGGTATTCTGGGTTCTCAGCATTGTTGCTTTAGACTAGAAAAGGGTAGTTGATAGAGTTGTGCATCAGCCTTTCTGAGGAGTTTTACATTTTCAGCAAGTCATTCAGCTTAAGGTTTTGCTTCTGTCTGCTGGATGTAAGTAGCCCATTTACAGAAGATGTAGCTTCTTTATTAAAAACCTTTGAAATGGAGACAGTGGAAGTTTTTAAGATTAGCTCCCGATAAAAGTTGTGTAAAAGTAACGTCATATTGACGGTTACCATTTTAGATGTTGCTGCTGAAGAGGAGTGCAGATATCCAGGTCACTGCACGTTTGCATATTGTCAAGAGGAGATAGATGTGTGGACACTGGAGCGCAAAGGAGCCTTTAGTCGAGAAGCTCTTTTTGGAGGAAATGGAAAGGTCAACTTGACTGTGTCCCGGCTTCTTCAAGAACATCATGGATTATTTATGTTTCTTTGTGAGGTGCTGCTCTATTTCTAATGATACAATAAAAATGATAATACATAATAAAATGACCTGGAAATAAATGCTTTTGTTCATGCATGTTTATTTTGTAAATTTTGAAATGCATGTTCAATAATAATCTGACTAGCTTCAGATTAGAGACTAGTTGAAGTCTCCATTAAAATCTTTAAGGTAAGGTACATTTAAAAATGTATAAAATGCATATTCAGTAATTACCTGTTTTTGTATTCCAGAAATGTTTTGATCATAAACCCAGAATCATAAGCAAAAGGAACAAGGATAACTCCTCATCTTGTTCTCACCCTGCTATGCATGACTTTGAAGATAACAAGTATGTCTGAAATACCATATCTTTAAGTTTCAGATTAAAAGCAAAGGATTCAGGACATTTTTTAATATTGACTTTAATTTCTTATCTGTTGATTAACTTCTCTTCCTTGCTAAGTGACTGTTATGCTTGTGTGGTATTGGTAAGTCAAACTTACTGAACCATGATTGTCTCATGTAACTAAAGTGAAAGTGAACTATTTCTTTATCAATACATTCAAAATCAGCGGTATCCACCCTCATGTTTGAATCTTACTGGTTTTGATGTCAGTTTGTTAATAGCTTACCTACCTGGTGAGCTGCATTGGTGTAAATAGATGTGTGATGTTAAATTAATACAGGAATTAATAAGTTTGCTCTTTCTTCAGTCTGTTTTGCTTATTTTACTGTAGTTTTAACTCAGTTAAGAACAGGTTTACCTTCATTACAGTGTTGAAATAGACCATAGACCTTATTAATTCAGTTGATAAAAATAGTGTGAGGAAAGTGTCTTTAATTATTCTTTGAAAGTTAACAAAGACTTCACAGTGGTAATAGTGTTAAATAAGTTTTTGAGAATTAATAGACTTACATTTTTATATAATGGAAGTGGGAGCATTTTAATTGCTTTGTTTGTACTCCACTTCCCTGTATTGAGGAAACACTACAGCTGTAAGAGCAAAGCTGTTACTCTGATGTGTCAACTCTTTCTTCAGTGGTGCTCTACAAAAGAATAAGTACTTGAGTTTGTAATTAGATCAGGATATAAACTTGAAAGTGCACACGATATGCTTTCCCTCTTGGAAACCAGTGATCCAGTTGAATTGAATTCAGTAATGCTTTGCAGAAGAGGAACCTCTGGATTTCACAACAATACTGTTCTGCGATGTTGGTTTACTAAGCCTATAAATCATAATTAGATGCTTCTTCCTTCTGGAAACTTTTTTGGCTTTCTGATTTCAAGTGAAAAGTGTTAGAAAGGTATTTGAATAAGCTGTGATGAGGGCTGGTTATTTTACATGTTTTTCCGCATATGAACAAAGTAATTTTAAGAAATATCTAAAACTGTTTTCAAAACAGGTGCCTTGTCCACATTTTGCGAGAAACTATGGTGAAATATTCCAAAATCCGCCCTTTTCAAGTTCGATGTCAACTTGACCTATGCAGACATGAGGTGCACTATGGCTGCTTACGAGAGGATAAATGCTTTTATGCTCACAGCCTGGTAGAGCTTAAAGTCTGGATAATGCAAAAGGAAACAGGTATGTTTGTAAGATGCTTACTTTACTCTTCGCTGTAATGCCACTTCTTCCTTGTCTCGGCTCCCTTCTGAAATTAGCAACTTGGGATCAGTGCACTCACTTGAAGTTTGCTGGAATCTTTAATACATCACGTTCAATAAACAGTAATGTTAATATGATAAAAAGTGTTGAGTAGGCTACTAGCTTTTCAAAATTAGCAAGTTCTTGATAATAAAAACTGTCAAAATTGCTCATTGTGATCAGATTTTTTTTTTCTTGAAATAAAACTAGAAGTCATGAGCAGATACTAAATCCAAGTCAAACTAGATTTGTTTTTATCTTTAAACCTTCAAAGTTAGGAAGATCTTGATCGATTTAATTTTCACACAGCACTGAAAGAAAAACTTGAAATATTTATGCCATCATTTCCCTCCCTCCCCCAGTACAAGAAGCAACTCTTTTTCTAGAGTTAAGCCTTTGTTTTAGCTTACTACCATTCTGATATTCTCATGTATTGAGCTAGAAATAAAGCTTTCCAGTTTGCTACTTTATCTCTTGTTAGTGTATGTGTTGATAAAACTTATCTATTTTTCTGTACTTGGTCACACAGTACATTTTGGCTGCTTTTTGTTGATCTGGCTTGGTTTTTTTGGCTTCTTTGAGGATAACAAATTTTACTACTTTATTTCTAGCTGATAGCTTTTGAATGACATGTCTCTGTACTTACAGCCCATTCCTTGGTCACAAGTTTGTTTTTTTTTTAAAGGCAGTTAAAGTGTTAGCAGTAAGTTATTTGTACCAAATAACAGTTGGTCATTCTTCCTACCTTGCTCTGTATGACAGCAGTACTTTACATATTAAGTGATCATGTTAGATCATTGCAGTGAATGGAGGAAAAAAGGGAATGTGGCAATCCCAATGTGTTACAGTATTTCTGGCATTTTTGCCCCTTTATGTCTGTGACTTACCTACCTCTCTCCTCTTTGAAAAAGAGACTCCTTACTGCTTCAGCTTTCTGTCTAGATTCTTGTACAGGCACACTGACACAATATGTCATACTGACCTGAAAATTTTGGAAGTAGAAACGCAAACAGAGGCTTCTTTGCCGATTTCCTGTTCTCTTTCCTGCAATGAATCTTTAGAAGTATCTGTGTGAAAGTAAAACAGTTATTTTCTTCCCAGCTGCCCCTACAAAGTGAAGGATAGCAAATACTTCTTCTATAATTTCTACTTTGAAGGGTTGGGTTCTCCAGGAAACTTGATTTGCCGCAGAAGGCATGTTTTTTATTTTATGATGTGTTCATGCTGCTCTCATGCTTAGCCAAAGTCAGTTAATGCTCAATCTCTGCTTTTTGTAGGAGGTTCCTCTTCTGAGTATAAGGTGTGGGAAGTAAAAGGATGCTACCTCAGAAAGCAGCATTTTATGAGCCCTCAAATCCAAACACAGATGGTGGTCTGTGTTTGTATGGAATTAGAGCAGTAAATCTCACAGTGTGTGTAAACACTGTATAGCTCTGATAGGAACCTTAGCCAAAGTATTTATAAGAATGTTTTTTTCTGGAACAAAACCTAAGAAATAGGGCTTGTTTAAAATCTTTTTAAAGAAAGCGGGAGCAATCTAGTGTCTGACGGCTTGCATTTTGGATATTTTTTCTGTGGTTCGTAATACAATGCAGCTTTTCTAGTCAGATTGTAATTAGAGGTTTAGTACATTATGATAAAATAAATACTCAAAGATGCATCTTAACTTACTTGAGCAAGCTGTAATTTAAAAAATTTATATACAATATTTCTATTTTGGAGGCCCTCATGAGATTTTTAAGCGTACATGTGTGTATGTATGTAAACATATGTGCACACCCACACACATGAGTGTATATATATGTATATAATATATAAAAAGAAAAATAGATAAAAGCTTTGGAGCTTCAGTAGCATTCCAGTTTGAGCCTGTCTTAAATTCTACAGCATTTGTAAGTGCTCAAGAACGTTTTGCCTTCCTTTACAGGTATTTCACATGATACCATTGTTCAAGAATCAAAGAAGTACTGGCAGAACATGGAGGCTAGTGCACATGGATCACAGGTATTTTTGTTTTTCTGTTAAACTAATTCTACAGTGACTTTGATAATTCTTTTTCTATGTCTGTGTATAATGTAGCTTATTTTAGAAATTACTTTTTTTAATGCTCTCTTCAAATAATCTGTCTCATTGTAGGTTTCCTTTGGCTTGCTCCACTTACGCTAAAATGCCGGCTTTGCTTGTATGCAATTCCGTTTGCTTTGCTTATTCTGTCATAGGCAGAACATAAAACCTAAATATAACTTTAAAGTCAGCTGCCACAGGGCAATTAATTATCTTTTCAAAATGTAGGGCTTTTATACGTTTAGTTTGTATATATTAGCACAACTTCTGGGTACATATACCTAAATCAGAAATAAGTTAAATAAAGATGCATTTGTTAAGAATTATCTAGTTTGAAAGTAAAAGCTAAACTGTTACAAAACAATGCAGCATAACATCTGCTTCCAGATGTGTGTTGTAAACTTTATTGTACGGGGTAGTTCATAATTAGGTATGGATTTCTTTGCAGATACACAATACCTTTTGTTGTTGTTGTTGTTGTTATTTTTTTGGCTTAAGATCCTTGGGAACCAAATGAAATGTGGATCACTTAATTTGAAGATGAAGTTTGTTTGTGGTCAGTGCTGGAGAAATGGTCAAGTTAATGAGCCAGACAGAAACAAAAAATACTGTAGTGCAAAGGCAAGACACCCGTAAGTAGAACCAAACAGTGAAAAATTTACATTTTTGTCAGCCATTTAAAACCTCTTTTGGGAAACTTTGTTACTGCTTAGGAAAGAGTCACAAAAGGAGTTAAAAAAATATTGAAGCAGAACACAGTCATCTCTTTGTAGTATGTTAAAAATTGGTAATGAGAAACACTTTAGTGGCTGTTTGTTTTGGGTTTTTTTGATTATCAGTTATGGTAGAGTTTCTAGTAGAATTTACTTAAATCTCAAAAATATGGTGAAAGCTTTTTATAAAGAAATTTTCTGGGCTTTTCTGCTTCTATGTACACAGTGTGTCTTTTTTTAATAGTATTTTCTTTCATTGAACACATCTGGCTTTTAGATGGACCAAAGATCGCCGTGTTGTGCTAGTAATGTCTAATGAACGTAAGAAGTGGATGACCATTCGTCCTCTTCCTGCAAAGAAACAAGTGCCTCTGCAATTTGATGTATGTTAACCTAAAACTATCATTTTAGTTAAGAAAATAGGATAACTGGAAACTGCTAGTAATTGGGCTGGTTTCATCAGTTCTGCAGAACTTCCCATGGGAGTTGGTGGGAATATATTAATTGTATTTCTACAGAGTTCAGTCTTAGTGATTAAACTAAGTTCTTACTATTTTCAATAAATATTTCAGAAATAGTTTAAACATATATGTGGTCTGTTAATCTGTTAGGAGGTAAAAAGCAGTCATGGTACTTGCTTTCAGCAGTTTGCTATTTCTAACTACAGTATATGAGTTTTTTATAAAGTAAACATGATTTTATTTTTCATGTGATATAAATGTCTGGGAGGGGAAACACTAGCCAAGACTAGGAAAAAAACCCCATTTTCTACTGTCACCCATTTTACTTTATATTCATAAAGATATTTTTTTTATTAACTTTCCAGTTATGCAATCATATTGCTTCAGGCAAGAAATGTCAGTATGATGGAAACTGCTCATTTGCTCACAGTCCTGAGGAAAGGGAGATGTGGACCTATATGAAGGAGAACAGCAGTAAGTAGAAGAGTAAATCTAACATGTTGTAAATCTTAACTGTTCTGCTTTTCATTCTTGTTCCTCAATTACTTTTTAACCCACTTTCTTTCACTCTATTTTGTAGTAAACCTTGCAGGTGCCTTTTTTAAATTTGAGTAAGCCCAGACTGAGTGTTCAAAAACAATATTAAACAAACATAGCTATTTTATATATTTGTTGCTTGATGTGTTTTTTAACAATAGTTTGTATCAATTTTTTTTATGTTTTATAAATAGTATATTGATCCATCCAGCAATATTGTTTGGTATTAATACCCTCTATTGCCTTGTGCATACACCAGGATTCTGTTGCCAACATATGGGAGCAAGCTATTTGTGAAAGAGTTTTCCCCCTCCCAGTGTATTTACTGGGAATTACTATTCAATTTCTGTTGTTGTCTTGTTATCCCATTAGAGTGTTACTGGAGGGAAAAAATCAAAAATCAAAAGTAATAAATGGCATAAACGATATTATCATGTTCTGCAAGAAAGCAGACTAAATTCACCAAAAACTGTAGCACCCCTTGTATTAGGACTTCAAAATTCAGATAGTGATACACAGCAGCACAGTTGTTATCTAGTGGCACAGTTGTTACCTGTACTTTGGGTGCCTGTTCAGAAAAGTGTAACATCTTACTTTCCTCTAGAGAGGCAGAAATAGGTCTTGGTAAGTAGCCAGAGATTGATATTGCTCTTGGCTCTTATCTCTAAACTGTCTAACTGTCTACATCATGTCCTTCCTTTTTTCTTCTTACAATAGGTGGGGGCTGAATTATGCTTGCAAACTCAGTCGTTTATCTAGCATTCTTAAACTCTTGCCTTAATTGCTAATTACTTATTTTAGCTTCTGCTCTCATTAGTTCAAGACTTGGAGCAGTTGTATGACATATGGCTAAAAAGTCAAAAACCAGAAAAAGGAGATGATACATCTGCTCAGGCAAACAAAGAAAATGGGAAGCAAATTCACATGCCGACTGACTATGCTGAAGTTACAGTAAGTAATCATAGGCATAGTTCTAAATTCACATGTGAGGTTTTTTTGTTGTTGTTTTTCTCCCCATCCCCAGTCAGTAGCATATGTTGTTGTCTTTATTTTCTTGGTGCTTCCTTAGATCATAGCTAGCTGCACTAAATGCAAACTTTAACTGACACTGTAAAGCAGTTCCTCTGAATCCTCTAAAGCCAGTGGAGATCATAAACTTCAGGTGATTGTTTAAATAACTATATCTGATTAGGTAAACAGCAATTTACAGGCCAACATAAAGAAAACATCCAAAATGTATTAGGAGCAGTTCTTTGCTTATAGTATTGAATTACCAATGTTTTGTTTTCACATTTCCTGTAAAACAGGTGGATTTTCACTGTTGGATGTGTGGGAAGAACTGTAATAGTGAGAAGCAATGGCAGGGTCACATTTCTTCTGAGAAGCATAAAGAGAAGGTTTTTCACACTGAGGACGATCAAAACTGCTGGCAGTATCGCTTTCCAACTGGATATTTTAGCCTTTGTGATAGGTATGTGGTTTTTAAGATGTCAAAAATGCTGAAGATTACAGTTTATAGTGTAAATAATTAAGGCGGTTGTTAGTTTTGAAACACAATGTTTCTAGTATTTCTTGCTTTGCATACATCTTTCAACAAGAAATTAAGTAATTAACAGTATTTTAACATGTACTTGTAGAACTCAGGAAGTGACAAGGTGCCTAATTGTGGAACTAAATGAATTGCTTGTGTGATGTTAATGAAGAGTTGCAAGTTTATTGCAGCTTGTTGGTATTACTACAAGTTTATTTAGGTATCTGCATATTAATTACCTGTGGAACACAAGAACAGTACCTAGCTGGATAGTGATACTGGAGCTTTAAGGCAAGTAGAAATGTTAGCATCAAAACAAATTTGTTAAAATCCATAATTTATGAATAAATTATGGAAATAATTTATGAAAGTGTGGAAGAGAACTTACAAGACCCTGGGGGTTTTCCCCAGCATTGGTCGTATGTTTTGCTGCTCCCTTTAATTGTTAAATGCAGCCTGTTTACCTGACTGCAGATGATTTTTTTTTTTTTGTAAATCTGTTGAAAGTTCTTTCCACTGTTGGAATCTTCTTGGAAGGCTAAAAACTTCGGAATATGCATTCCAGAGTTAAAGATTCAATTTGCTGGTATGGAGACCTTTGTTACTCCATTTCAAGTTAAGGATTTTGAATGTCTTGGAGGTCTTGAGAAATAGCACAGCATACAAAGCAAGTTATTTTTGTTTGCAGTCTTTGCATGGAAGCTTACTTTGCTAAATTTTTAAGTAACATCTTAAAGGTATTTGATGTTTTGAACACTAACGCACCTCAGATATGCAGTATAAAGTGAATACAAACTGGCATGCTTATAACTTAATACAAAAATACTAGGATAAAATAGATTCTTAAGGCATACTGAGTACTTAAACCCAAATTTAGTTAACAATGTAATTAATTAATTGCGTTTTTAACAATAGCAGTACTTTAGCTTAGTGAGTTAAATGATAAGGTATTAATTTACCTGATTAACATAATCAAATGATAAACAGAGTTAGTATTGTCTTACATAAAAAGTAGATACTCTTCAATTTTTTTTTTTTTTTGTCCTTAATATTGTAGTATGTTTGAAAAATACGTCTAGAGGAAAATACCTAGATACAGTAATGATCATGATAATTCTATGGAAACACTATTTGAAATTTCTTAACAGATATATGGCTGGTACTTGCACTGAAGGAAACAACTGTAAATTTGCCCATGGAAATGCTGAACTCCATGAGTGGGAAGAACGAAGACAAGTTTTAAGAATGAAGCTCAGCAAAGCAAGAAAAGACCACTTGATTGCTCCCAGTGATAATGACTTTGGAAAATATAGTTTTTTGTTTAAAGATTTAAACTAATACTGAGATGACACATACATGTTATCAGCTGGAAGCATAAACCAGAAAATTTGACAATAATTAAAAGCATGTGACAGAAAAGCTGCAGGTTTTCTGCTTTTATTGGCATATATTGTTCCTCCTGAACAGCAAAATATAGTAGATTTAGGGGGATTGAGCAGACCTGTCTATGCTCTCATGAAACAGAGTGGTGATTAAAAAAAATCAGAGGTATTATGTGCTTACTCACCTTCTGTTGGACAGAAAGTTAGGAAATAGAAGGGGGGAAAGAGAGGTTATAATGTCTAGGAAGCCCCCTGGTATCAAGTCCTTCAGTTGAAAAACTTCCAGGTATCAAGGTATTACAAAACAAGAGTGTTATGGGCTAAGAAGAAAATGATGGATGAAAATTCTTCAGATCTTTTAATGGAGAGGATTTGTTTAAAACAAAGTTTGCTACTTATCTATATGTAGGTTGCTAAAAAGGATTTTCTTATTAAAGATTTTAAACAAAATAACCATTTAACTACACTATATGTTGAATGGGTATTTTTTCTCTATTTGTATGTTTCACTATAATTTACTGAAAAAGGATCTTGGGAGGAAAAAAGTATTAATTTTTGAAAATGAAGTAGTTAAAATTCTGTTTCTTGGTCTTTGCTGTTTAAATGATGATTTTGGAAGATTACACTTGTATGTCAGTATTGTGTATTATTGTATGGACTAATGTTGCCTGTAATAAAGAGAACTTTACACAAATCTGTTTTCTGCATGTAGCCTCTCAGGACTGAGATTTTGTAAAAACAAATAAACAATGATTTGCCTATTAGCAAAATTAGCTAAAACTGTAATAAGTTGGTATTTGTGTCCAGCTGCTTGTTGGCAGTTTTCTGTATTGTCATTAGCTGATCGCATCACTAAAATAACAAAAGTGGTCAACTAACTTGTGACGTAGGCAAGCGTTTTGGAACTGTGGGGTGCTGGGACATGTCTTCAGCCTTTTGACTTGGACGTGAACCACCACCTGAGCTGCAAGGTGGATGGTACTTCAGATACCATTTCCTGCAGACCCCAAGAAATGGAAAACCATTCCTGGGCTGAGATGACTTCTGCCTGATGAGCCTTTTGGCTTTATGGTCATTGGAGCTTCCGTTGCATTTTGGCTTCTCTGCAGATCATGCTTTCAGCTTTCTTTGTGTGTTCACTTATTATTTTTTTTTTTTTTTGACTAAGCTGCTTTCAGTCATTTATTCAAAATAGCTAAATCTAGGTTGTTTGGGTTTTGTTTTGCTTTTGTTTTTTCTCCGTATGACTTCCTTCTCCCTCCTCTTGAGAGTATTTTTCTGTTACTGGCTGCCCTTGTATAATTAGAAGAGCTTTACAGATGACTTCAGTAGTTTGAATGTAGTAATTGGCCATATATTGTGTATGTAAAAAGTGTTGAACCAAAGTTCAGTGCTACCCATACAGCTGCCAAGCCTGGATGCTGTGTCCCTTCACTTCACAAAATAAAAGCACAACCACTATTAGAACAACACCTTACGCTTCAGCCCTAGCTGGGGGAGCTTGTGAAGTGACTGTTCCTTGCTGGCCAGGCTGAAGTGCGTTGGAATGTGATGTGTGCAGACAAAACGGGCTTGGTGCTTGAAATACCACCTGCTGCAATGCTGATTTTTTATATTGTTTGTAATAAACTGAGCTTGAACTAGAGTGCTATGGACACTGGTGTTCGTGACAAACCTGATTGTATCGTGTGCCTTTCTGAACTGTCTTCTCAATTTTATGCTTTCATTGTTTAATATAAGTGCTCTGTAAATTATTGGAAGTAATTCTAGACAGAACTAAACATGACATCCTTGTTCTGTAAGGCCGGTGTGACATCCTTAATGGCTGCCGGGGGGAGGCGGGCAGTTACCGGGGGATTACCGACTCGCTGATCCCGGCGGCGGGAAGGTGGAGGGTGCGCCGCGCTGCGCAGACAGCGGGCGGCGAACCGAACGCTCGCTCTCGCGTTCTTCCCGCGGGTCCC